TTTTTTTTTTTTTTTTTTTTTTTTAATATCTTCAAGTCACTATGAATGGACATATTGAATTAAGAATTTCATTCCATCGCAAGCACAAAGACCTGAGTTTGATCCCTGGTACCAAAATTTCTAGATTTACATGGAAAACATTTTTATTCTCTCTTAGCTATGGTTGATTGTGTTACCATTTATTCATGAAGGTGCTTCTATTCATGTATAAATCCCAGGATTTGACAAATGTTTGTACAGACAACTAGAATCAGAAATTTTTAAAATCCTTTCATGTAGTTAAATATAATACAAAAAGTTTTATTGTGGTTTTTATTTTTTTTGGTGCTGGCGATTGAATGTACTGTCCCTCATATGCTAAGCACTCTGCATTAGGCCAGCTCCCATCCTTCTTGTGAAATGAAGTATCAGTGGATTTTACTTTTTTCTTCAGCCTTATGTTTGATCATCGGCCAAGATCCTGGCGAGAGTTGCCTCTTCGGATAGCTGATTTTGGGGTACTGCATAGGAATGAGCTGTCGGGAGCACTGACAGGACTCACCCGGGTACGAAGATTCCAGCAGGATGATGCACATATATTCTGTGCTATAGAGCAGGTATGAGACTCTATGGATTAAAATACTTGGAAGGAAATGGCAAAAAGCAAGGGACACTGGGTATGGTGGTATATGCCTATGGTCCCAGCACTCTGATGGGCAGGGGATCACAAGTTTGAGCTCAGCTTGGGCAACTTAGTGACTTACTGACACTGTCTCAAAAATAAAAAAGAGCTGGAGATGTAGCTCAGTGCAAAGGCTCTGAGTCCATTCTCCAGTACCACAAAAACAAACAAAAATCCCAGAAACAAGTGAAAATAACCACTATTTCTTTTCTTTCTTTCTTTTTTTTTAAGATTGAAGATGAGATAAAAGGCTGTTTGAACTTTCTCCATACAGTGTATAATGTATTTGGATTTTCTTTTAAACTGAACCTTTCTACTCGCCCAGAAAAATTCCTTGGTGATATTGAAATATGGAACCAAGCTGAGAAGGTAAGTGGTGGTTCTAGTGTGGATACTATTTGACTGCAATCATCTTGTTCTGCTTGATAGCAGATAAAGACAAAAGTAAACTGGAAATAGTTACTGTTAGAGTAAGCTGATTTTGTTTTTTTCTGTATGGTTTTAAAATATTATGGTATTTTAGAATTGTTCAATGTTTTAAAGCTTTTTTGTTTTGCTTTGTTTTTTTGTTTTTTTTTTTTTCCAGATATCAAATCACAGGCTTTAAAGGAAGTTTGCATGAAAGCATTTTTAGATAGACAGAGTTACAAAGCAGAGAATAGTGAGTGATCCATGAAAGTAATTATAATAGTTTTAGTCTCAGAGTAGATTGGAAGAAGGAAAGTTGCAGATAACTAAAAATACAAATCACTTTGCTTTATCCTTAGCAACTGGAAAACAGTCTGAATGAATTTGGTCAAAAGTGGGAGTTAAATCCTGGTGACGGAGCTTTCTATGGTCCAAAGGTCAGTGCCAAAGTATTTTTGGGTAATGTGATTTTTATTTGTGAGTGAAGAGAGATTACTTTAAATAAGTTGGGAAAAAAGAATTATCAGTGGTAATCCAGCTGTTGAGGTTAGCTCTGACATTGACAGCATCTTTACAATAGCCCAGTCTTTGCTTTATAGATTGACATACAGATAAAAGATGCAATTGGTCGCTACCACCAGTGTGCAACAATCCAACTGGATTTTCAGTTGCCTATCAGGTTTAATCTGACTTTTGTAAGGTAAGTTCCTGATATTTCCTCTGAATATTCTTCTCCAGGAATATATAAGGGAATATAATATAACACACACACAATTCCTTTTCTTCACAGCCACGATGGTGATGATAAGAAAAGACCAGTGATTATTCATCGAGCCATCTTGGGATCACTGGAAAGAATGATTGCTATTGTCACTGAAAACTATGGGGGCAAATGGTAATTTTTCATTACTTTTTTTGTTTTTGTCTGATTAAACTGGCTAAAAGAAATGTCTTCTCTGCACTATAGATGTGAAATGGGATGGATGATTCTGATTGGTCATTTCTAATGACAAGTGTTCACTGAAAAACAAACAATTATAATCTAAACTCAGCTTCTTTAGCATTAGGAATTTTTGGGCATTTCAGGCATAGTGGTTCACATCTGTAGTCCCAGCACTTGGGAGGTTGAGACAGGAGAATACTAGTCTAGGTGATGTGGTACATGCCTATAATGCCAGCTATGTGTGGGGCTGGTTGGGAGAATGGTAAATTTGGGTAACTTAGTGTAAGACCCTGTCTCAAAGTAAGAATTTTCAAAAAGCCTGGAGTTACAGTTCAGTGAATATTTACCTAGCCTGTACAAGGCTCTGGTTCGATTCCTGGTCCTGCAAAAAAAAAGAGGAAAAAAAAAAAAGAATACTTGTTGGAGGGTTGGGAATATAGTAATAGCGATGGGGTTCAATCAAAAAAAAAAATTAGAAAGTCAAATGCTTGTTACTAGTAATTGTTCTCATTTCAGAATTTGATTTGTTTGAATGTTATATAATACTTTCTAATTACTAGTTGTTATCCAGTAAGAAAAATAGAATTTTTATTGATTCTCAAATAACATTTTGGGATTTTTGTGGCTTTTTTTGTTTTTTCTGAGTAAATGAGTATGTTTTTTGTTTAACTTTGAGCTTTGTTGATTAGTATTTTGACATCTTTCTGGAGATAGTCTTGTTTGTTTGTTTTTTAATACCGGGGTCAAACTCGGAACATTGCACTTGCAAGGCAGATGGTGGAACCATCTAAATCCCTAGCCCTTAAGATAGTCATTTTTTTAATTGAAAAGAATTAAACATGCCAAGCTTATCAACATCTTAAACTCATTTCTATGAGGTTCTATTGTTTTGTTGACAAGATATGACTTCCATTTTATTTTTTAAGTAGTTTTGTCAGGGCTCACATGCTGTTTAAAGTAGTACAAGGTTATTAAACACCCATATGTAGTCTGCAAAAAAAAATATACTTATGTACTTTTTATTTAAAGGGCACTCAGTATTGAACCCAAGGCCTTCACGCTGAACTACATCCACATCCACAGACTTTTTTTTTGAGACAGAGAGAGTGTCAATAAGTCACTGAGTTGTCCAGGCTGAGATCAATCTTGTGATCCTCCTACCTTGGCCTCCCAAAGTGCTAACTTACAGACATGCACCACTACAACCAGTTGAGAGTCCAATATTTGTGTTGTTTTAAAAGTTCTATAAATGTTATAAATTGGCTAAATCTTATACAATGCTGTCATTTTAGTATTATTTGAATTTAGCTAATTCAGACATTAAGGGGAGTTTTTCACATAAAAAATAATCTTTTTTATTGTATTTTACAAAATCAAAATGTGGGAAACATTATCTACATAGCATCTAAAGAATTAAGGGATTCCTTAGTCAATTTTTCTGCCGATCTGTGGTAGATTGGAAGAAGTCTATCATAAGGATAGAATTCAGTGGCTCTTCTAGCTCTTTTGCCTGATGCAACAACACAACTGAAATGGACGAACACTGGGAGAAACACTGGCCTGATGTCTTCAGTGTCAGGAGGGCCTGACCCTTGGAATGCTACAAAGAGAGGGTGAAAGTGGGGCAGACTTTTTTGTTTTGTTTTTGTGGCACTGGGTGTTGAACTCCACCTTGCACACACTAAACAAATGTTTTCCCAGTGTGCTGCACCTCCAGCTGCAGGTGCGATTTATGTTTGGTTTTATTTTGTTTCAGTTTTACTATAAGTAGTGAAAATTTATTTTTATCCACTACCTTCAGTTATAGTTGCTGAATTCTGCTAAAAGGATCTTGAATAAACTGAGGACACTATATGTATTCTTTCCATGAAGAATAAATAATGAAATCTTCATTATTATTTATTTATGTGCAGTTATTTAGGTTTGCTAACCCCTCTGACAGCCAGTACATGGTGTTTTGTCGTGTGATGTACTGAAATATAAGGCTTCATCTCTATCAATTTGCTTTGCTGACTTGCTTGGCAAAACAAATCTTAGCTACAGATTTTCCTTATTTAGCATTAGGTTTCTCCTGAGTTTCCTCCCTTTAATTTTCCGTAGAAATTTTTAATTTCAGTTTAGAAAAACAAACAAAGTTTTAAAGTTTTGAAAGTGACCCTTGTTTCAGGAAAACATACTAACGAGTAGACTAAGAAGTATGCTGTATTTGATTAGTGTATGGGCCCAAATCTACAGTATATATTTTTATTCTCTTTCTAAGGCCTTTCTGGCTGTCCCCTCGCCAGGTAATGGTAGTTCCAGTGGGACCAACATGTGATGAATATGCCCAAAAGGTAATCTTTAAATATGACCTCTCTATTAATGCCTATTAAACTTTTTAGATCTCAGAGCTATTCTTGGTAAATCAAGCTGTTTATGACATGGTAGAGTATTACTATGTAAATTTCCACCTGTAATAAGTCTGAACAGATTATAATACCACTTTTCAAAATGATTCTGTGATCAGAACATTCGGGTAATGTGCATCTCATTGTTATTTTTAAAAACCAAACCAGCAAATATCAAGTACTTCAGTATGATATAATATAAATGTAAAAAACAGTTTAAGCTGTACTATGGTGCAGAGTAATTTTGCTTCATTTTTGATGCATACTTTTTCAGTTTTTTGACTCTTTCAGCTTAGTATCAGGCATGTCTTTCTCTTCCTGCCACAAAACTAGCTAACAAATTTATAAATAACCATTTATTCATACCTTGAAGACTAGAACAACCTGTTCTGTTCACTGTAGTAATTACATGCTTAAGAATTGCAGATGATTAAGTTAATCATTCAACAATACTGTAGCATCAAAATCATCATTCTAGAGTATCAAAATAAATTTTCCTCAGATATATCTTGTCTTAAGTGAACATAAACCAGTTGATAATAATCAAGCTACAGTATTCAGATAAACTATTCCTGCTACTGCATGTGGTAGGTTTTTTTTTTTTCTCATACACATGTAGTTTTATTGTAACAAAGCAGCTTGTACACTTTGAACATTTAAAACTGCGCATCATGCATATGGTAGTTTTATAGGGAGCCTGCATTCTCACATACATGTAGTTTTATTGTAACAAAGCAGCTTGTACACTTTGAACATTTAAAACTGCGCATCATGCATATGGTAGTTTTATAGGGAGCCTGCTAATTTTTTTTCCTGGCCATCTTACAAAAGATCTTATTTAATTGTGAAAAGAATTTCTTTGCTTTGTGTTGTATTGTTCAAGACAGCTGATTAATTTGATTGAATTCTGATTTTAAAGGATCTTCTAAAACAATTATCTTTTGAAATTAAAATATATTTTTTGATTTTTTAAAAATGTGGATCCAAGTCATTGATATTATATACTTATGTATAGTTAAGAGAATTCCTTTTTTTTTTGGTACTGGGGATCGATCTTGGGTCTTTCCACTTGTGAGGCGGGCGGCAGAAACACTGAGCTGAATGCCCGGCCCAGGATTGCTTTCTAATTGTTTGCATGATTATCCAAATCTGAATTCTGTGTCTGTTTAATAGGTACAGCAACAATTCCATGATGCTAAATTCATGGCAGACATTGATCTGGATCCAGGCTGCACACTGAACAAGAAGATCAGGAATGCACAGTTAGCACAGTATAACTTCATCCTAGGTAAGAAAGTCAGTTTTCCAAACTTGTAAAAAAAAAAAGTGCTGAAATCTTGAGGTTTAGGCTTAAGTGAATTGTGGTCAACCACGTTTGCTGGATTAAGTGATTCCGTTAGCGCAGTAATTATATGTATGCAAATTGATATTTTTTTTTTTTTAATGAATGGATGCATGAAGTCAGATGCTCAACAGTACATGATCACTTGTATATTTTAATGTGTCTGACACTATAGGGTGGCTCATGAGTGCTGGGATCATTTCTCCTTAAATGTGCAAGGTGAATCTTTCTATATCTTTAGATGAGTCTCACAAAGTTTTGTGTTTTCTGTTTTAGTTGTTGGTGAAAAAGAGAAGGCCAGTGGCAATGTTAATATCCGTACAAGAGACAATAAGGTCCATGGGGAGCGCACTATTTTGGAAACCATTGAACGCCTGCAGCAGCTCAAGCAGTCCCGCAGCAAACAGGCAGAAGAAGAATTTTAACAGAGACCTTTGCCCAAACTTGCTCAGTGGGAAAGGACGAGCCGCGTTTGCATGACATGAAGCTTGTATTCTGGGCAGCATCATTTTATACTGAACTTGGAATAGTTCCGCAAAATCTTCATGGATGACTGTGCGATCAATTTTTTTTGACCTAGACATATTTTTAGACAATGTGTGTTTGATGGAGTTAACCATTCAAATTATCTTATTATCTGAGAAATGGAAATAAAGCATGCATAATGCTTTTAGTGTAATGTGGGAGCCGTTTTTATAAATTTAATCGATTGAAAAATAAAACTTTCCAAGTTTGATAAAGATAAAAGGAGAACTACAATTAGATTATGGTGTAAAAATAAAAAAATTTCATTAACTTTTCTTTTTTTTTGCTTTTTGTTGTTTGTTTTTGATACAGGGTTTTATTATGTAGTTCAGTCTGGCCTTGGACTCAGTATGTAGCCCATTCTGACCTCATGTTGATCTTCCTGCTTTAGCCCCTTGAGTGCTGGAATAGCAGGCATACCCTACCTCACCCGACTAACATTAAGTTTCAGGATGCTCTGTATTTCACATACGTACACATGTACCCGGAACAGGACTTTGTTGTTGTTTTGAGATAGGGTCTTGCTGTGGAGCTCTGATTGGCCTCGGATTTGTGATCTTCCTGTCTCAAGCTCCCAAGTCCTGGGAATACAGGCCTGGTGGGCCCCTTTCCTGAGGCCCATGTATTCTTTTTCCTTGGTTCATTGCTTCTTGATGGTTAACCAGTAGCTTCTCAAAGATGCGTAGAGAAATTTTTAACACTTAGCCTATGTAAATCTACATTGTTAGGTATAGAATTCTCAGTTGAAAAAAATTTGTTTCAAAATCTGGAAGACATTTTTCCCATTTCCCTCTATCTTTTGGTCTTTAGCAATTCATTACTATTCCTATTCTTTTATGTGTCACCTGTCATTTTTTTTTTTCTCTTAAGATCTCATTAGCGATTGGACAAACACCTAGTCTTTCTTCAATCCAGCTGCTACGTGATCAACACTATTAAGAGAAAAAAGTACCGTACAGAAACTGCAAGAATTGGAGCCACTTTAAATTGATTATTTAACCCTTGGTTATACCATAATTTATCCCTATGTGCCTTACTTTCTTCCAAGCCTTTATGTCGCTCCCAGATTAAGTCTATAGAAAGCACATGACTAATTCCAAATGAGATTTCCTACTCCAGGTACTCCCCTCACTCAGCAGACTACTAGCTCCTCTACTTCATTAAATCTACAAACCTATATTGGTGCTTCCCTCCTGTCCTTTAAGGGGTGGGGTCTTCCTCTCCTAAGGCCAAGCCCATTCAGTTTGAGATTTGGAGCAGGACAGTTGACTGATACTCAGCTTTGCAACTTAATTTGTTTAACTTATCTGAGCCTCATTTCTTACCCATAAAATGTTGATAGTATGTGTTTCATTGAGTTTTGAGAAGTCAATGGGTTTTACATGTGTAAAAAATAATGCTATTCTCATCTACTGTCTTACTCCAACAGATATGCCCTTTGTGTCATTAACTTCTCCCCTAATTGTCTTAAACTTCTCACTGTAAAAATACCAGGTCTTCTACTATATTCTTTGTCCCTGGGTATTCTGACTTCAGGCCCCACTGAAACGTTCAAGTAGTGCTTGCCAAAAACTGAAAAGATCCCCATTGGATGTTGCAGCTGATAACTGAAATAATTGATGTACTCAGGAAAACCAAGTCAGACCTTGGGATCCAGCTAATGGAACTGATGTACGAGGCTGTGAAGAGGTGCACGTGATCCCTACCCATGTGGTGTCTGCGGTCATCTAGCAAGAGAAGGAAATCCAACACAGTTCTGAGGAATGGGCTGCAGGAACATTGGGTATGAAAGAAGCAGCGTCTCCGGGATGATGAATGGACGGCTGTGGAGAAGACACAGGTTGTTCAAAGACGGAGAAGTGAGGTTACTGAACTGGAGCGGGTGTCATGGGGAAGATGGTAGGGAAAAGGAGGCGGCACAGATGTGGAATTGAGAATGAAATGACCATATCTGAGGGGTGCAATGAAAGATTGGATAAGGGAAGGCAGAAAATTAGATCAGATTCACAACAGCCTGTGTAAAGAGATTTATGTCTTGTCTTTGAAAGTGTGAAGTCAGGCTTTCTGTGGGCTCTCAGAGATATTCAGTCTGGGAGAGGCTTAGGTAAAGCAGGCTTCTCAAACTCGAGTATTTCATTTATCAAAGAATTACAGGTCTCCTGTGATAATCCAGTGATATTAGAACTTCTCTGGCTGCTATTGTAGAGGAATTTACTTTGAGAAAACCTGATCCACAGACATGCAGTCGTGAAAAATTAATGTCTATTTTACTTCCTGGCACCAGAGGGCAGCCTTGCCTTCCTTTTTCAGATTGATAATGTGTCAAAGAAGGTTGAGTTAAATAAATTTACTGTTAGCTTGAACCTCACTGGGTAGCTTTTTCTGTTTCTACCACGGTTCACCACAAACCTATTTTTATTATGAGGGAAAATAGCCTTTAAAATTGTTCAAATGAGATGCCCACTAATGCTAAAAGAAATTCATGGGAACATCTTCTAACTTGTTCACTGAGGAAAGATAATAGAATCCAACATTATTTAATTGTTTCTGTTTTTAGAACAGTGCCTCCTGCTGGTCATTCTCAGGCTGCTTGTTATTTTAACCAGTAATGCTAAGTACACGATAAGAGATTGGAAAGGGACTGGTAAGGGCATTGCTGCTGCCATTACTGCCTCTGTTGCAATGAGGAGAGAGAATGAGAGGTAGATGGGGCAAGGGCCCTGGGTCAGTGGAAAGACCTCTAGTTTCCAAGAAGGGAAAAGCAAACTCTCATGAAGAAATACCTGTGCTGGGACACTGCAAGAACAAAGTTTTAACAAGATCTAGTAATGGTGGGACCTACAAGAGAAAGGATCCCAAGGAGTCCTCTGTCACTTGAGATGGTCCAGCAGAGATGTATGCTAGGTTGCCTGGGGACTGCTAATCTCATAGTGTGCTCTCAGGATCCTCTACTGGGGTTGCATGGAGTACTTTCTGGTGTGAAAATGCAAGTGCCTCCTAAATGAGAAAAGTCTATGGCAGGCTCAGAAGTCTCCATTGGAACAAGCTGCATGTATAATTCTCCTGCTTATTGAATTTTGAAAACCATTATTTCCAGAGGCCTTGTAATGTGTGGGAGATTGAATGAAAGAGGAACCCCAGGTTCCTGCTAATACCATCATGATAGGGTAGGAGCAGGGAGGAGTGTATTCATTTTAGGAACATATTTGTTTCTATTATTACAGATCCAGAAAAACCAGAAAATAAGGGAAAAGAACAAAAGACTTGTAATTTTATAGCATAGCTAAATTCTATTATGCTTTCTTTCTTTTATTTATTTATTTTTTTGGTACTGGTTATTGAATTTGGGACCTTGCGCTTCTGAGGCAGGCAGCAGAACCACTGAACTAAATCCCCAGCCCTACCATTATGTTTTCTTATATAACCAACCATACACCTGGGTTTACAGATAAAAGTATCTGATATGTATAATTTTATTTGATTTTTCACTTTTCTATTCCAAACATTTTAACATCTATAGAATAACTTGATAAATGACCATAGCACAGTAAATTTAATCAAAATCCTATATTTGAACATTTGGCTTTCCAAACTTTAGGGATTGTTAAAATCAATTGGTAACATTGTCTTCTAGTTTGAGTCATTGTTGAATAAATTTCCTTTATTTCCCAACTCCTACACCGCAAAGAATGCTATAGTAACAATGGCTATATTTCTCGCCACACCATTCTCCAAATTTATAATAATACAAAGCCATCCATGCATTCATATGACTTTTAAAAAATATTTTAAGTAAACATTTAAACATGTAAATTTCTCTGTATCTTTATTTTCTTGGCTAGCATAATACAACGACAAAACTTCCAGATCAATGAGTATAGATCTTATTCTTAGAGAGAGAGAGAGAGTGTGTGTGTGTGTGTGTGTGTGTGTGTTTCAGGGGAGCAGTACTAGGGATTTAATTCATTATCTCACACTGAGCTACATCTTCAGCCCTTTTCATTTTGAGACAGAGTCTCAGTAAATTGGATTGGTCATTTCAAGATGGAGGGAGGGAGAGGAAAGAAGGGAAAGGGAAATAAAAAGAATTAAAATGTGTCATGTACACGTACCAACTCCCCATGATGAATGTAATCATTATGTACTGAAAACATGCACTAATAATGTTTTAAATGTTTAAAATTATTCTAAGATTACTGCATGATAAATAAAATATACTTTTCTGGTAAGGTGGGAAAAGGGAGGCAGAATAATAATAAAATAACTGATTGGTTAACATCAGGTTATTTCAAATTATCCTTTTGTGTAAGGATGAAGGCAGAGGGAACTTCATTATTGTGCCAAATGAAACTGGCCAGTTTAAGAAATTCAGCTGTTTTCTCTGTAATCCTGATTTTTCAGTTTAATGGTGAAGAATTTTAGCATGATTGAGTCCATTTTGAATTTTTGGCTGATTTTTTAGGCCTAATTTAGGAGATTAGTCCAAAGCAATGACCTGTCATTTTTACTTAATTTTCCAATTAGAAGACCACAGGTGACCGAGACATAGTTGTACCTGGAGTTTGATGGCATGTATGATGAATTTTCTGGTAGAGAGGGTGGCAGAGGCAGTGACATATGTGCCCCTCTCCTTTGTGTCTGGCTGTGATCCCAATACAGTGAGGAATGCTGTCTGCTGGTTGACACTGTCTGGGTATACTCTTCCATCCAGGGACCCTGCACATCTGTTCCTCCTGTTTGATCCCAAACCCTGCTGCATTTGATCCCATGTGCCCTGAAAAGGGGCCATTCCATGTCAGAAAACAACATGTCATAAAAATGTTTGCAACACATGGAGTTATTGTTACAACAATTGACTGGAAGGAAAAACATTTTTAAAATGGGATCATCTCCCCAAAAAGGACCAGGAAAGCCTTGTTGCTAGGAGAACTTACAGGGACATTTTTGTTTTTGTTTTTTTGTTTGTCTGTTTGTTTTTCGGTATCGGGGATTGAACTCAAGTCCTTGTACTTGTGAGGCTGGTGGCAGAACCACTGAACTAAATCCCAGCCGTATAGGGCCATTTTAATGTGTTCACTTTAGTTGAATGAAGAGGATAACAGGATCAGTGGTTTGGGACAATGCAGATAGGGACGTAACTATACAGGAAGTTGTGTAAGGGGTCTAAAGCTCAGTGAATCATTCCCCCTTTCTCCCTTTCCTGTATGTGGAAACAAGGTGTATACATCAAGTCAGTTCTCTGGAG